AAGCAGAGGGAGTGGGAGAGGGAAAAGCAGGCTTCCCACCAAGCAGGGAGCCCGATGCGGGGCTCGATCCCAGCACCCTGGGATCATGACCTGAGCCAAAGGCAGACGCTTAACGACTGAGCCACCCAGGCGCCCCAATATTCTTATTCTTGACCTGGGTGGTGGTTATGTGGTACTTCGGAATAATTTTTAAGCTACAACCCTTGTTATTTGTACATTTTTATGAGTGCATGACATACTCCAATTAAAAAAAAACAGTTCCAAAGTGTTTGCATTCGTTCTACATTGCTGGGTAACAAATTCTCACAGAGCCGAGTGGGTCAACACAATATCCACAGATTATCACGGTGGCATAACTCAGAAGGGCAGCCTGGCTCAGCCCTCTCTAGGGTGGGGCACAGCTTCAAAGTTTCCCCAGGGCCGTCTGCATACAGGAAGCCTCGCTGTAATTGATTTCTGATACCACTTGGGATTTGCATTTCAGCCTTGGACTTCCACTTGCTCTGAATCCATTTCAAAACCATCAAGAGCTGTGAAGAATGCCCGGATGCAATCCCATACAAAATCCACTTAAGAAGCACATTTAAATGAGGTTCTCCAGATCTTGTGAAAACCAGCTCTCCGCTGGAGCCAAGACTTGGTCAGTGGGCCCTCCGGAAGTGACCGCTCCCTCCCCATCAGCGGAGTTTTGATAAAAGTAAAACGGCACTTGGCATAGATTTCTGGGCTCGTTTTAGGGCAGGAGGGAGTGGTGTCACAGATCCCTCTCTCCCCCACTGTGCTCAGCCCAGAGTAGCCAGTCAGTAAATATTTGTTGAATACGATTAGAGGAAAAGTTCTGGTGGGAAAGAATTCCAAACCATAGCCACGTCTAAAAGTCTCAATGAGACTTTTCCAGTAAGTGCGTCAAGATTACCTTGTCTTCTCTAGGGTGAGTTCTTCTGAAGTAGATGCCCAGAATCAGGGAGCTTTGGAGCACTTGGGATTTCTTTTTTTCTCCTTTATTGTTTTGGGGGAGGGGCATTCTTTGTTGTATTTCCTGGCTCTGGATAGGGGAAGCAAGTTGCTTTCCTGTGGTGCCTCTCAAAGCCCTTGCCTTCGTCCTGCACCCTCCACCCCCTTGGAGAAATGGAAGCTAAGACATTTCCGTCAGCCAGGGATGGGGCAGCTGGAGTCCTATTAGCACCAGCAGACACAGCACGGGAGGCTGGGGAAACTCAAAATCTGGCACACCAGGTTTCTGGACCTCCTAGTCTGGGGGAGAAGGCATAGGGGGAAGGGTTGGCAAAATTCCGGAAAACAAGCAGTTTGCAATACAGTGTTGATAAGATAAGGTGAACTCCAGCAGCGGACCCCAGGACCGGGCTCTGCGCTAACCGGAAGCCGGAGAAGGGCTTCCCAGAGCAAATGACAAAAAAGAAGCCACTTCAAGTTCCCCCTAAGCACTTTTTCATGCCAGCTCATAGAGAGAGAAATACAACATCCAATAAAGCCCAGGCAACAGTGTAAATCCAAATAAGGACATACTATTTCTACATACAGAATTAGCAAAAATTAAGATGCTTTTTGCAGCCAGCTGGTTAGGAGAGGGATGTGGGGTGGGGGAGAGAAGTGGGGGGGGTGGTATGTAGATACCGGTGCACCCTTCTTGGAAAATGATTCGGACGTGTCCGCCCTTCAACCGCGTGATTCCAGTGCTAGGAATTTGCTGGCTGGAGACACTTTCTGCCTCTCAGCAATAAGGCTTTTTGACTTTCTTATCATTGTGCGTCCCCTGGTGTCCCACTTTCCATTTCCTTCAAGAACTTTGCCTTTGCATTCACAGCTTGGCTAACTGACACAGAAGGCTTCACTCACAGCCTGTCTCGGCTTTGGACGTGCCTTCCTCGCTAAGCTTCGTCATTTTTAGCTTTTGATTTAAAGGGAAACACAGGTGACTCTTCCTTTCCCTCAAACACTTAGAGGCTGACGTAGGGTTATTAATTGACTTCATTTCAATATTGTTGAATCTTGCGTAACAGGGAGGCTCGAGGAGAGGGAGAAAGACAGGGGAACCACTGGCCAACACAGGATTGCCCCAGACCTTCAATCTGTTAAAAAAAAAAAAAAAAAAAAGGCAGTATCTGGAGAGGGCAATGCAGCAGAGCATGGTAACAGGAGGCATGTTTATACTATACTTTCTTCACACTCTGGTTCTTTGCAGTTGCTGGGGCTGGGTGGTTAGCCTTCTCCTATGCACTGCCCTCCCCCACATCCAGCTTCCAGAACTTCCAGCTAAGCTCCCGGTTCCCGATGCAAATCAGCACGCTACCCGAAGACTTTAACAAGTCAAAAGGCCACAGTAGGAGCTGAAGCTCAGCACGAACCCAGCCACCGGCTGCTGCTAGAGTAAAGTAAATGGGATGCATCCCACCTTTGCTCTGATGGAGCCCCACTCCCCCTAAAAATCCTTCTAAATTTAACTCCCCCAAGAAGCCAATGTGGAAGCCATCGAGGGCTCCTCTCAGCACCTGTGGCCCGTGGCCTGCACACAGGGGACACTGATGATGAAATGGCCCGATGGCTGCCTGTTCCTTTCTGCCACGGTGTGACCTCAATGGACAGAGATGGGTGAAAGCAGCCCAGAAAAGCCTCACACCCGTATGCCCAGCAGCATTGGGTAAACACCAGGCTTTTCCTTTAGAAATTAGAATTAAGTGATGCCTCGAACTACTCATGACTTGGGGCAAATTATGTCATCTGGAGCACCGAGACGCTCGGTGGGGACTCCAGCTCATGGACGCGTCTCTCCAGCGGAAGCCTGGGGTGGGGGGGCTCCCACGAACCACCAAATAACACTTGTGGGGTAACACAAGACCCAGAATCGGGGGTTAATTCCGGTGTCTTCGGGAGTCAGTCGGAGACTCCACTGGGAATTCGCCCCGCCTGGAATTTACACTCACTCACAGGGGTTCAGGAACCCCCAGGACCCCCTAACGACCCTGAACTTACCCCCAGAGGGCTTCCTAGTCTTTCTCCTCCTACTGGTGGACACACACCCAATTCAGCCACCTGAGGACACCCAGGGCCAAGCACTGGGCTCAACACAACTTTTTCGGGAAAAACAAAGATGAAAAGAAATTTCAAATAAAACTTGGCAATAAAATACCAAACTCCTTGAGATGAGACCCATCAGTGGTGTTGATGATTTCCTGGTTAAAGCAGTCACTTTCAGGGCGCCCGGGTGGCTCAGTGGGTAAAGCATCTGCCTTTGGCTTCAGTCATCACCCCAGGGTCCTGCTTGGTGGGGAACCTGTTTCTCCCTCTCCCTCCGCCCCTCCCCTGGATCCTGCTCACTCACTCTCTCTCCCTCTCACAAATAAATAAATAAAATCCTTTAAAAAAAAAAAAAAGAAAGAAAAGAAAAGAAAAAGAAAAAGAAAAGCAATCACTTTCCATCACTCCTCCAGTCTGGAATTACCAACTGCACAGAACCATTGATTTGCTTTTTTTTTTTTTTTTCAATTTAAGATTTTATTTAGTGGGAGAGGGAGAAGCAGGCTTCCCACTGAGCAGGGAGCCTGCTGGGGGGCTCAATCCCAGGACCTAGGAACACCGGACGCTTAACGACTGAGCCACCTAGGAACCCTAAGCTTTTTTTTTTTTTTTTAAGAGTAAATCCGATTTTTTTTTTAAAGGAGGCAACTAATGATAGAGACAGTACAGCTAGTTAACTAGTTTAACAAGACCCCGCCTTTTCCATCCCACTTTGTCCCAAGGTTTCACCGCCCTCACCTCAGCCCAGGAGAGGCTCTGCACGGTGATGGGCGTGGATCTCCGCCTCCGCGCCCACCTGCGGGCCCTCCCCGCCCACCTGCGGGCCCTCCCCACTGCCGGCCTGGTTGGTGAAGAAGGAGAGGCCCCAGCCGGGCTGGCTCCTCAGCTAAGCTCAAAGCATTCCTTAGGACCAGCTCGGTGATGAGCCCCCAGTCTCCCAGACATCCTGGCTCCCGCTCCTCCTAAGACCTTTTGGGGAAAGCATATCTCTCATCGGGGAACCTCTTATTTCTAAATTCCCATTTTCACTTCAGAAAATGAATGTTTTTCTTTGGGTGTTCTAGCAACGACCATGAATGAAAACCACGCTGACCTTCTTTTCCCCCTAACTTGTTAGGAGCTATGGACGGCGGAAAGATGGAGCGCTTCTCCTGCAGGTATGAACCCATCTTGAACGTGAGCTTCTGATGGCTAGAGCTTGCCACCTGCAGAAATTAATGTTCTACCCCCTCTCTGTCGTTTGGCTTCATCTTGCCCAAACTTAAAAAGGGCTGCCAACAGGGATGCTGTTTTCTCCCGAAAGGAGTGGAACTTCACCCTTAAGAGTTCCATCCAGCTTTCCCGTTGGCTTTTAACATTTTCAGTCGGGTTAATGCACTGCCTGGGAGATGATTAGCGTTTTCCTCTCTTGGGTAAGAAAAGGTCGATATCAACAACCAGATTAAAAATCTGCTTTTGAGAAGTCTGAAGGCATAGATTCAGTATTTGCAAAACCGTGAAGAGTCATGGGAGGATTTGTTTTGACCTGAAAATCTTTTAAACGACTGGTTCATTTAAAATAGTTTGTAAAACGTGATTCATTGATTACAGAGACAGTCATGTGGTCATTTCAAAATTCTTATATGAAATCCAAGTGCAGGAGAATACGTGTTCTGAAATCGAAGCTAAAAGATTTATGCCGACTTAAAATTAGGGCTCTAGGAGGGCAGAGCCTAAGAAATCATGAAACATTGAAAAAAAAATAGCTTTTAGGTGATTTTTAGTCTCATCATTGCTCTTAATGTTGTTACACGAGTTAGCCATTTGAAAAGAAAGGAAGGAGAAAGAAAAGTAGGGCTCTACAGTTTCTCCCTAATGGTCTGTGGTCTTGTCCTTGTGCTGGGAAGACCCAGGTGTTAATTCTGTTAAGGCAAAGGGTTTTATTTGCCTTGTTTGTCTAACGGTGTCTGATTTCATCTTCCCAGTGTGATTCTGATCATGGCCATTTCCAAAGCGTTTGAACTGGAATTAGTTGCTGGTGAGAGACTTTTTGTTATTTTGATCAGCAGCAATTTTCCCCGGGGCCTGAAATCCTGAACCCACCCATAAATTTTTGTCTTTAAGGGTTGGGCCACCGTGAACTTGCAAGGAGAGAGCCGCCCTTAAGCGATGCCAGCATTCGTCACCGGTCTTCCCAGTTTGTGCCGACCTTAGGCATCCAGGATAGTAAGACCCAACTCCCTTAGGGCTACCTCGTGCTATGACCATCCTGCTCCTTCCTGTTTCCTCTCTCTCTGATGCTCTTCCTCCTGGTTGGCAGGCTGATTCGGGAGCTGGGCAGAGGGGTGGACTGGGGCTTGGCCCTGGAGACTAGACCGGCAGAGTGTATTTGACCTCCCTGGGACACACGCAGTTTCCCTCCTGATTCCCGGGGCTCTGGGAACCACCCCTGGCCTGAGCATGAAATAGCTTTCTCTGCTCAGAGGCTCCACTAAAAAGCAAGAGTGCCATTCTGTGCAGTTCACAAGACTTAAGACCTCTCCGATCACTGGGGAGCCCAAGCCCTTCGCCCTGTATTAACCTTTGCTCCCAGGGGCTTAGCTTTTCAGTTCCCCACTGCCCCTCAGCCACCTCTTCTTTACATTTCAGGTAAGGAGTTAAACAGAACTTGCTGTCTGAATGGGGGCACCTGCATGCTGGGGTCCTTCTGTGCCTGCCCACCGTCCTTCTATGGCCGCAACTGTGAGCATGATTCCCGGAAAGAGTAAGCCACTGGAGGGGTGGGTGGCGGGGGAGATGGTGGCAGGGGTGGAAGGGGGCACGGAGAGGAAAAGAGAGGGGAGTTAAAAACCCAAATGCAGGGGCACCTGGGTGGCTCAGTGGGTTAAAGCCTCTGCCTTCAGCTCAGGTCATGATCCTGGGGTCCTGGGATCGAGCCCCACATCGGGCTCTCTGCTCAGCGGGGAGCCTGCTTCCCCTTCTCTCTCTCTGCCGGCCTCTCTGTCTACTTGTAATCTCTGTCTGTCAAGTAAATAAATAAAATCTTAAAAAAAAAAAAAAAACCCGAATGCATCGCCTTCTCTGTTCCTTCCCAGGAACTGTGAGTCAGTGCCCCACGACACCTGGCTGCCCAAGAGATGCTCCATGTGTAAATGCTGGCGTGGCCGGCTTCACTGCTTCCGACAGACATTCCTACCGGGCTGTGGTAAGCCATAGTCCCCTCTTCTGTTCTTTAAAGTTAGTTAGTTGCCTGGGGCCCCTTGGTGAAACTGTCCTCTTACCCACATTTTGCTAGGTTCTGGCCCCTGAAGGGCTGCTTGTAAAAGCATCGGAGAGCTCCAGAATGGGGGGGGAGGGGGGCGGGGACACAGGTGACGCTGGTGTCCCTCCGATTTACTGCCTCAGAAATGTCATCTTCCAGGTGGAGAGTTATGTCAAGGCTATTTGACACGTTACAGTGTGGGAACTTCTAAGGAAAACAAACAAGAAAAAGGCTGGCCTCTTAAACACCAAGAGGTGCTCTTGGGCTCTCCTTTCCTTTGGGCAGGGTGACCCAGATAAACTCCCTGTGGACAACTCCCAAATCCTGCCCTTAAATTCCACCAGAGGCTCAACCGCCCCCTCTCATTCCTCAGGAGCTTCCTCACGGATCCTCAAGGGATCTTGACCTTGTTACCTTGTGGATTCTTATTGATTTGAGGAAAACAGTAGCAAGAAGGGCAAGGATCCACCCCGCCCTGAGCCAGATTTCTAGGTCCTCCCCAAGTGCAGAGGCCTCTCGGAGTTCTGACCCTGTGGATGTTAGCCACTGCCCAGGGTCGAGTCCAGATACTAAATGAAAGCAGATGATTCTCTTGAGAGCAAGATGGGAGCCCTGACCCACACAGGGACTGTGGCTTTTCCACTCGCCTCCTGGCTGTCAGGCCCAGGATTGGCGTTTGGTAAGTATGAGCGGGATGACTGCAGGGGCAGAGGCCATATTTTCTTCTTGGAACTTGGGGCCCAAAAATGTGCTGTCTCCTCATTGACACCTGAGCAAGTCCTGTGGCTCCCCTGTCATCAAAGGTGTCACCAGCTGGGGTAAGTTTCCAGGTGTGAGAGCACGTGTCCAGGGGAAACCCAAGGGAACAGTAGGCCCATGGCGACTTCTGCTGAAAGAGATTTTTTTCAGGGGAGTCTAAATTTCGAGTGATCAGTACTCTTGATCCTGTAAGCATACTCTTATTCATCAAATATTGAATCCCAGCTTATTTTTGGCTGGTCTGCTGGAGGGATTTCCTTTACTGACCAAGTGTGCCTCCCTTTCAGATGGCCATGTGTTGGAGGAGCACATCCTGGTCTCCAGGACTCCAGAATTAACACTGTCTTTGGGCACCACTTTCTCACTGGCTGGCATCTGCCTCACTCTACAAAGTTACTGTTAATGGACACTTGCATATGCAGTATTTTGTCATGCGAGTTTTATAACCTGTAAAGGCTGTCACTCCCGTGTCCCCAGAGATGATCATTGGTTAGTTGCCTTGAAATAGCTAATAGATTTTCATCATGGTCCTAATATTTTCTTCAAGTACCAACTACTTTCCTCTGCCCTGCTGTCTCCAAAAAATTTCTCTTAAAAAAAGTCAGCCTTAGGGGCGCCTGGGTAGCTCAGTCAGTTAAGCATCTGCCTTTGGCTCAGGTCATGATCCCCGAGGCCTGGGATCGAGCCCCATGTCAGGCTCCCTGCACAGTGGGGAGTCTGCTTCTCCCTCCATCTCCCTTTCCCCACCCCTTGTGCTCTCTTGCTCTCTCTCTCTCTCTCTCAAATAAATAAAATCTTAAAAAAAAAAAAAAAGCCATATCTACACTGTGAGCAAGGTCTACATTCCTTGATACACCTAACTCTACCAAGGGTTTCTTAGTATTTTCCTTAAACAACTGGATTCTATCTTCAGATTATTAAAGGCTACTCCTAACACGGAACTGAGGCTAAATATTTTACTAGAGTTGATCAAAATCAATTAAGACCTTGTCCGTAAAAGGAAAGGGACCATCTGTAAAGAGAGCAGACAAGAGGGCAGATACCGGAGGTGAGGGACTGGATGCGGAATATTAGAAGTATGTGTGTGTGTGTGTACACACCAGGGAGACTGGTAGAAAAGAGGAAACAAATGGGATGGAGATTGAGAAAAATAAAATGAATTACTTGGTTAATGATGAGATGGACCCAAGAAGTAAGTTAAAAACCCAAGTTGAAAGGCAATTTTCTTTTTTTTTTTTAATTTAAATTCAATTAATTAACACATAATGGATTATTTGTGTTAGGAATACAGGTCTATGATTCATCAGTCTTCTACAATATCCAGTGCTCATTACAACACATGCCCTCCCCAATGGCCATCATCACCCAGTTACCCCAACCCTCCAATCCCCTCCCCTCTAGCAACCCTCAGTTTGTTTCCTATGATTAAGAGTCTTATGGTTTCTTTCCCTCTCTAGTTTCATCTTGTTTCATTTTTTCCTCTCTTTAGACCATATGATGATTGTCTTTCTCTGATTTATATCACTTAGCATAATATCCTCTAGTTCCAGCCACATTGTTGCAAATGGCAAGATTTCATTTTTGATGGCTGCATAATATTCCATTATATGTATGTGTGTATGTATGTACACACAAACACACACACACTCCACATCTTTATCTATTCATCTGTTGATGTACATCTGGGATCTTTCCATAGTTTGGCTATTGTGGACATTATTGCTATAAATATTGGGGTGCATGTGGTCCTTCAGATCACTACATTTGTGTCTTTGGGGTAAATACCCAATAGTTCAATTGCTGGGTCATAGGGTAGCTCCATTTTCGACTTTTTGAGGAAACTATACTGTTTTCCAGAGAGGCTGCACTCGTTTGCATTTCCATCAATAGTGTAGGAGGGGAGCACCTGGATGGCTCAGTGGGTTAAGCCTCTGCCTTTGGCTGAGGTCATGATCTCAGGGTCCTGGGATCCAGTTCCACATCAGGCTCTCTGCTCCCTGGGGAGCCTGCTTCCCCCCTCTCTCTGCCAACCTCTCCCCCTACTTGTGATCTCTCTCTGTCAGATAGATAAATAAAATCTTTTTTTTTTTTTAATAGTGTAGGAGGGATCCCAAGAGGCAAGTTTCTATCCTCTAGAAGACAAGAACACCCCCTTCTTTCTCAATGCATTGTAAAAGGAATGAAGTCTTCCTTGGAAAAAAATTCCATCTAAATTTCTCCAACAAGAGAGCTTAATAAATTGTGTTTTCTCTGTACGTTTCAAGTATTTTAACTTGCAAAAGAGAAAATGTTCACTATATATTTCATTGTAAACGAGGTGATAAAACTATGTATTTTAACGCTACCTTGCATACGTGAATATGCCCAGTAAAAATGGGAAATCTTGTGACCAAAGTGTGAACTGTGGTTATTTCTGGGCTGTGCTGTGACAAGCAGGCTACGGTGGTGGGTTTTCCCCTCTGTACTCTGTGTTTCTCACAGTGAGGGTGTGTTGCATCTGTTTTCATGGGGAAAGCCACGACTACATCAGGCTTGAAACTGAAGTAACCAGAAGAGCCAAGGGCTCAGACCTAGTATTGTTTCTGGCTTTGGTGTGTGTCTGTGCTGCGAAGGATATTTGCTTCCATCATTTAGGCCCACTTGGTCCCCAGTTCTTGTTTGTCCAAATTAATGCCCTGCAGATGCAAAGTTCCAAAGGTTCACCCTAGGAGCTCAGAGAGTGTGGAAGGCTGGTCTAGCCACTTACTTGCCCCAGGGCAGTGGGTGGGGGGCAGTTTTCCAGGCTGCAAACTGGGGTGAATCCCTACACCACAGTGTTGTTAGACTAACATAAACTAAAATAGAGCACTAGTACAAAAATTCTCCACAAATATCACAATTCTCCTCTTTCTACCTGTTTGCCAGACTGGTCTTTGCCCAGAAACGGAAATGAATAAAAGGAAAAAGAAACTTCAGAATATTGAAAAAGGCTTCTCATTTGCAGGCAAATAACCTGTAACCACATTGCAGGTGAGGCAGGGACAGTGTTTTCCAAACTTGGGCATTCACATGCCACCTCAATTTGGCCACATCTTAATTTTACTTTATTTTTTTTAAATTATTTATTTATTTATTTATTTGACAGATAGAGATCACAAGTAGGCAGAGAGGAGGAAGCAGGCTCCCTGCTGAGCAGAGAGCCCGACGCGATGCGGGGCTTGCGGGGCTCGATCCCAGAACACTGAGATCATGACCTGAGCCGAAGGCAGAGGCTTAACCCACTGAGCCACCCAGGTGCCCCTTAATTTTATTTTATATCAACTCTTTAAGGTGGTAAAATACACATAAAAGTTAGCGTGCCATCATTTTTAATTACAAAGTTCTGTGGCTTTCACTACGTCCATATGGCTGGGCAACCATCCCCACCATCCCTCTCCAGAACTTTATCATCTTCCCAAATTGAAAGTTTACCCATTAAAGAGTAACTCCCTATTCCCCTCCCCAACCCCAGCCTCTGGGGCTTGGATCTACTTTTTGTGTAGATGAATTTGACTTGACTTGTCAAATTTGAATTTGACTTGACAAGTCAAATTTGACTTGAATTTGACTCTTCCAGATACCTCCTGTAAGTAGAGCCATACAACAGACAGCCTTTTGGGTCTGCCATATTTGGCTTAGCATGTCTTCCAGGCTCATCCATATTAGGGCATGGGTCAGAACTTCATTCCATTTTAAAGTGGAACAATATTCCATGGTAATACGTTGTCCATTCATCCATCCATGGGCATCTGGGTTGTTTTCCCCCTTTAAGCGACTGTGAATAATGTGTTGTGAACAATGGTGTCCAGTCCCTGCTTTCAGTTCTTTGGTGCGTCTCCTCACAGGTGGAATTGCAGGAGCATTGGGCAATCCTCTCCTTTGATTCTGTGAAGACCCACCAACCTGGTTTTCACAGCAGCTTCACCATTCTGCATTCCCACCCATGGTGCACAATGCTTTGTTTCTCCACCTCCTCACCAACCCTTGTTGCAGCCTGGGTTTCATTTTGTTTTGCTTTTTTAAAAATAGCCATTTGTTGTGGGGTGTGTGGAGTAGCATCTCATTGTGAGTTTGATTTTCATTAACCTAGTAATGAGCGATGTTGAGCATCTTTTCATGTCCTGGTTGGCGATCAACTCATTTTCTAAAATGCTTTTTTACCTATCCAAAACAAATTGTGAAGTCCTGGGTAATTGACACAAGATCTGAAATTTAAAAGCAATTAATAATGAATAGTGATGGGGCGCCTGGGTGGCTCAGTAGGTTGGAGCCTCTGCCTTTGGCTCAGGTCATGATTCCAGGGTCCTGGGATTGAGTCCCTCGTCGGGCTCTCTGCTCAGCAGGGAGCCTGCTTCCCTGCCTCTCTCTCTGCCTGCCTCTCTGCCTACTTGTGATCTCTGTCTGTCAAATAAATAAATAAAATCTTTTAAAAAAGTGAATAATGATAATGGTCACCTGGGCGCCATCTAAAAATCACGAACCACATGTACATTTTGGGAAATGGTGCTCTAGGGGATGCCAAAGATGTAGATCCTACCTTCAAAAGGCTTATGGGCTCCTCAAAGCAAAGTGCCCATGTGATGAGGACCATTCCAGCCAATACACCCAGCAACGGGGAATAAATGTCAGGGTCCTGAGGAGGGGATCCAGGTGTCCATCGCAGCCAGCCCCACTTCCTGCTGTGGATTCCACTTCCTCCAGGATCCTCATCAGTCCTGGGGGAAACTTTAAGAAAAGGAGTAATGGAACAGGCTGCTGTCTCCAACACTGCAAATGACCTTAAGGCACAGCTGATAACACAGTCTTCCTCCTCTGCCCATTCTAATATTCCCTCACCCTGAGCTTGGCACCGACGCTGCTTTACAGGGCTCATACCTGGTGGAGTGACAAGACCCTTGAGATCCATGCCCCTGACCACCATGACCTTCCCAGCTGCATCTGCAGTATCTGCCCATTGACCATCAAGTTGGGCAGGGAAGACCAAGATATCCCTCAGGGAATCGCCTGGGCTTTGGACCCTCCACAGCAGCCAATTGTTAGGTGTTTTGTCCTAGAGAGGACACATCTCCTTGTTCTAGATGGTTCCCTTTGAGGGCAAGTCCCAACAAGATGCAGCTATGAGCCAACATTCCTTTCTGATTTATCCCCCAGGAAGTCCTGCCTCCCAGGTGGGTCCCTGTTCTCCACTGCCTTTTCGCATGTGTGCCCATGTGAGCTCACATGCACATGCTGCATGGGTCTAGCTGCTTCAGTAACAGTAAATAATTGGTTCTAACCTACTTACAATTCCTGTGGTCTACTTACAATTCCTTATCCTTCTGCCTTACATTATTTTCGGGAACCGTACAGGTATCATTTCACCTCGGAACTTAGCTGACAATGTTC